CTTACACCAATAGTAGTAAAAGTGTTCAGACAGATGCAATGTTTCAGTTGACAGGGTCTCTAGACACTATGGATTGCTAGGAATAAGCAATGGTTAATTACTGAAAATCATTTTATCCATCCCTCAAATTGTAAAAGATAGGTCCCTATATATGTAGTCTGGATTAATTGTCTATTTCAGATTAAAATATGGGAAGTAACTAGGCTTCTACCATTTCCCTTGATAGACTATTCCACAATCTAACATATCTTAATGTTATTGTCAACAATACACAGTCAATTTTTTCCCCCCAGTTTCATTACATCACTCATGAATCACTTTTTACGTGTTTCAATAATTTCATTTCCTCCTTGATGTTTATCTTTGTCACATGCTTGTAGACTCATGTTCTCTCCCACTACTTACCTATCAATTAACCAACATACACACATGTAGCTCATTCCACATTTCCTCAAATCACTTTTATGCTCTTCTCTACAGTTTCTCAAATCTGTCAATATCTTTTGGTAATGAAGTATCCAAGAATTAATCACATTTAAAACTCGTGTAGGTGATGCAAAATTGCTGGTATATTCCATCCCAGATGCAGATGTATTCAATGGAAGGTTAATATATGTAAAATGTTTAAGACTTATCTAGAGTTTCATAAATAGTATGCACACATTTTACAGACAAATGAGGAGGAGACCCTATGCTGAATATCTTAAAATGTAAGTTAAGACTAAAATAAGTGATAAAGAAGTAGAGCTGAAAAGAAAGATAAAAGTGTAAAGGCATCATCTGCCTAACCAACCCTTGAGGTGATATCAAAAATATCTGAAATACTATTCCCAAGTAGTACACAAATATTCAAACATTCTGGTTTTACTAGTTTAGTATAATGTTATGCAACTAAATCATCCGATGGACGAACTGGACTTCAGCAACTGGAAGGTAAGAGCAGGGAAGAGACCAGTGGTGCTGCAGGTGCCGGGGACACACATAACCACAATTACTCAGAGTAACAGACGGGGACCCTGCTCAGCCTCTTGCCCCTAACTTTCCGCGGGGAGCATTACAGAACCTGTGGCTGGACCTGGCAGGGGAAACGCCGCTACCTCCAGGCCCGAAACACACACTTTGCTCCCTCCGTAGGAGCCCTGCCGTTGCTGCTGGTCTGTGCAGGTGATCGCCAGGGCCCCGCACAGGCCCCCCAGATGCTAGGCGCGGTACAAACACACCGCCCTGGCCTAGACCTCCCGCGCCTGGACTTGGCAAAGTGGTTCCCAGCCTTGCTTCGTCTGCAGGCCCTGCACACATTTCCAAGGGCGGGGCGGCCCCGCGTCGGGACGGGGGGGAGGGGGAGCGGCCCCGCGTCTGGAC